GGGGTGAGGTGGTCGACCTGGCAGGGCCGCCTGTTTGTCCCACACAAACCCACCCTCCCGTCCGCCGGTCGCCGCCCGGGTCGGGCGACGATACCCTAAACCGATGTTTTTCTGCAGTTCTGTCACAGTCTGTCGAAAATCTCCGCTACTTTCATGCGCGATTTTGGAAACTCTGCGCGTGAATGGCCCCGGGGGAGGTGGGGGGGAGGGAGGGGGTAGCAGAAGGGTTGATGCTCCCCCATATACGCCTCGCGCTCGCTCGGTTAGCCGTCTAATGCGGAGCAGGCGACCGTCTTTTGTTGAACAGAACAATGATGGGGGTGAGGGGGGAGGAGAGGGGGGGACATAGCAGCTTCCAGACTTGCCAATGAAATTGAAAAGTTTTGGGGACGAATCGGAGGGAAACGCTAGTATATCGCGGCGGGGCGGCGCCGCCCGGCCAGGCAAGGGTTGTGTATGTGCGCGCCAACCCATGCGAGGCGGCAGGGAGGGCCAACCCCCGGCGCTGTGTTCATCTATCCGTTTTTTTCGACATGTTTTTCTCTTTTTGAGGGGGTTCAAAAAAAATAGGTAAGTGTAATAAAAGAGCGGCGCATTAATCTGCTCTTATTTGTTTCGAACACCTTTCGGTGCGCGAGCCACGGGGTGGGAAGGTACATGCCGTGTTTTTTAGATTTTCAACCGTGTTCCAGGTTGCGCATTTTGACAGGCGATACTGCTATCGAAAGGGTATGAGGTGCCTTTAAGTCTGCGAAGAAAAAAATCGCAACTTTTGCGCACTTCAAACGCCGAGCGCAAGTGACGCGCGCGTTCCGCGGAACGAGAACCTAAGCCCCTGGCGTTCACGGGGCGACGGTGGTGACCAATTGCACTTGCCGGATGTAAAGTATAACCGCCAAGGTCTCAGTTTAAACCCTCGTCGACACCTCCGGTGGCGCGCAGCGCGCACAGCGTTCCCAACAGGAAGCGAGCCTTTTCCCCGCGCTCTCAGGGGCGTTTCAAAAATCGTGTGGCGCGACCCCTAAACGTTGTCGCACGGACCTCGGACAACGACAGGAAATCATCGTTTAATCTCCCGTATCTCCCGAACCTCCTCAATTCGTCACTTCGACCTCCAATTTCGGACAGGCTAGTAGGGCTCTTATTTCTACCCGAGTACCCGGGTAACCCGGGTGGGTACCCGCCCGGGTAGGAACCGGGTCAACGGGTTTACCCGGGTACCCCGGGTACCCGGGAAAACCCGTCGACCCGGTTCCTACCCGGGTTACCCGGGTACCCGCGGGTCGGGTTTTTAAGAGCCCTACAGGCTAGCGCACAGTTGCTGGACATCTCGAGTTTTGCCACCCTTTTCCTGCAAAGGGTCCGGGCCCAGCCTCGGTAGGGTGTCCTGTGCCTGGACACCCGTTGTCGGGGCCCGTCTGCAGGGATAGGGTGGCAAAATTCGAGGTGTCCAGCAACATTGCGC